TTGACAATGTTTTCAAGCTAACGATTCATACTATAAAGAAGATTGGCGCTTACAATCAGCTCGAGCATTTTACAAATCTTGCGTAAATAGTCGAAATTCAAACACAACGCGTGAAAGTCGTCATCACTTGATAGATATGTATTTTGGCGGATGGCAACTAATACCATCACTTTCGACGGAGATAAATAATACAAATGGGCGAAATCAAAGTCAAATGAATAACAGTCTTACCGATCTATTTCTACCAATATTAACTCAAACTGGACGTTCACCTTTATTTTCAATGAACATCGCAGAGGATATTTTTGCAGTCCTAGTAAGAACTTCAATTATAAATCCCATATCAATCTTCTTTTATTATATTGATTGTTTTTGAATCTATTTAAATCATTGTCCATACACCCTAGAACTTGATGTTGAAATACTCATATCAAGTAAACTTACTGTGCTCAATTTATAGTAAACTAAAAATGATTGACCACTTCTAGTTATGACCTATAACCCAAACCAGAGTAAGAAATCATAATGAAGTGTGTTTTGAAAAAAATCCGTATGTAATATACGCTATTTAATTGAAACTAGATTCTAGTATGATAAATATTTATATAATGTGTACATGGAGCAATAGCATTTAAGTTATATATATTTAGGTGGACCCTGTGGTGTGATTTCGATGAATTCGTTGCAATATTCTGCTGCAAATTTTAATAAACTAATAAGTAATTTTCACTGTCGTAGCTAGAGATTCTAAGATGTACACACGTGAATAAAAAATGTATTTAGACTTTGGTAAGAAAGTCTGGTAATTCAAATACCTTTTTGAATACAACGACGACTAAATATATGATCTACTGCATTACTAAGAAAAAGCATTTCATTGATGTTACCCACCAAAAACTAAAATGTAACTCTGACGACAGATTAACCCATTTCGGTTATACTTAACGAAGACTACTTAAGTCATATTTGTAGAACTAAAGCCATGACACATCATACTACTTTAAATGCTTTTTTATTGTTGTTTGACCTTTCATGTGGCATGTAAACTGATCATAGTGAATAAAAGAATTTTGATAAACCGCTCACATAACCATTAAAAATTGACTGCTATCATTTAAGAAACCTTTGACTTCTGAGTAGTCAAGGATACTGAACCACTCATGTTAAAGATGGTTCCATCTCGTAACACGGTACATAACTTAAAGCACTATCAAGTAACATTCGCTTGATATTGTTTAATTCAATCTTCCCATTAGGGTTTACGACTGCGATTGATCGGTCTGTTATTTGCATATATGCATACTGTGCGTATCGCCCCTAAATTCCCCTAATTTACAAGCATTCTAGACAAAGATAGGTGGTGGCTATCAGTGGAATAGAGGACGCGCTCTTCGTCCTACTTGGGACTCGTCAGCTGGATATGCTTGGATCTGAGAGTGGATACTGATCAATTGCAGTCCTAAACATCAATGGGAAGATTCAAGTAAACAATACGGAGTGAATTCAAACTTCACTCCATTGCACAAACTAGTGGCTATCAGGAGTCAGTAACTAAGTGGATCACGCGATGGCGTTTGAAGCGAACGGTACTGAGTTCGTGTCTCACAGTGAACATCAACTCTGAGATACAGGTACATCCAGCTGACGAGTCCCGAAAAGGACTAAACGCGCGTCCTGGATTCCACTGCTAGCCACTATCCGTCTTTACTAACATGTGGAGTATGTAGACAAAATTTAGAGTTTTATACGCAACTATAGTAGGTTTGAGTAAATTACGGTCAATGAGGTTAATGTTGACAAAGTTCAGATTTTATAAGGGCTGTTCTATTGCTTAAGGAAATTGACTATGGTTAGTTATTATTTTCGGTACGGTCACACTATAAACACATCATCTCTGTTAGGCAAATCTTCATTTCAACATCAGTGTTCTGAAACACTGTCTAAAAACACACACTCCTTCAATGCACTTCAATGTCCGGTTTAGATCTAACAATGAATTCTGGATATGAACTTATGGTAAGCAAAGAGTTCCCTACTGGACCTTCTTCTAATGTATCATCTCATGGTCAAGCCCAAGTATATGATACTTATGCAAAAGATACAATGATCACACGTGTATCATCTATAACAAAAATATCATCTCCATCATCATCCTGAACAAATTCAATAATTGTCATTGTCCAATTACATTTACGTTGGAAGCTAAGGTGATTTTGAAATTTCGCTCCCTTTATTTCCTGTTAAAATGTCCCCAGATGGTCCATCACAAGGATTCATACACATTAAATAGAATGATCAATACTTGAATTCTGTATTTCAGTCTCACTGAATAGTTCAGTAATTAACCTCAAGGGCCAGGAGGATATATATCAAAACACAATAAAAATAAATTACCCCGACTCAGACAAGAACTTATTAAGTTTAGTTGTCAGTCTAGGCTCACAGTTAAAAACCTTTGATGGGAACAAAAATCTGAATGACCAATAATTGTTCAAAAAACTTTGTTCATTAGCACTGAGTTTCACGGTGGAAGCTCTGAAAAATCGAGTTACAAAATCTCAGAGAAATCATTTTAAGCGACCAGGCTTTGCATCGTCTACAAACAGCTAGTCAGTCATGGAAGTGACAAAAATAGACTACTTGCTCTGACGGAGCAGGTCAAATTTGCTACACAAAAATCAACACTTTCTGAAAGTGTCTCAAAACATCATCCGGTGTGGATTGTCAAAGGAAAATCGAAAACAATCGGCAAACTAAAACAGAAATAGCCCATCGGTTCTGGTCACAATGTCCCATTAGGATTATCCTTCAAATCCATCTATACAGATATACAAATGAAGGTCCTATCAAAACTGCCTTACTCGTGAGTCTTCAGCAGTTTACAGATTCAGACCAAAAACAACACATATAATCTATAACACTTCCGTGGGTCTTTCACCGCTTCCAGCATACTTTCTATTATTATACTTTACTTCTTTAATCAATAGCCAGTAATAATGACCTGCGTACAACTTTCCAGAATTATTATTCCATTGTCATCATCACCTTGAAGGGTTCAAGTTTTCCTTCATGTCTATCAGGTTAACAATAATCTCTCTTATTTATGACCTGGAAATAACTTTTATGTTCCTAATCTTCATTAACGCCTAGATCATTACCTAACCTTCCTTTGATAATTGATTTCACCGAATACCTAGACATAATTTCTTAATATAATTCTACAAACTCATTCATTTATTAAATCTCTATAGATGCCATTGTAAGGTTTTGGCAAATGATAACGTCGAAAAGAAATTTACATCACTGTGTTGTCTTTTTTTCATTTAAGGTATTTAATTACGACCATTTCTTTTCACTTAAAACACATAAATGGTGTTACTGAAATCCGCTTCGCAATTAAGTTTCGAAATTACAATTTCAAGTAGTGAATACACGTAATAAATCATTGTAAATCAATGTGTCATTCTATGTAATGGTAATATTTATAGAAATAACATACTCTCAATATATCTCATAAACAAGAAATTGTATCAAACTAAGCAAATATATTTCACATACATGTTGTTGGTGAGAACAGGTTGAATAAAATTCAGATTGCTATTACATGTTTTATGCAGTATGTACTTTGTTTAATTGTTTAACAAACCACTGCAATGTATTTTGTAATTCTAATCTCTCATCAGATTTCACCTGGTCAGTTCGCTTTTCAAACAGATTTACAGAAGGTAACTTTTAAATTTGTCTAGAACTTATTTATTTAATAGGTAATTCAATGAAAGCTTCTGACTTCTATCTCATATTGATTTGAATAAAATGTCGGAAAAGTCTTAAATATTGACGTGCAAACGTTTCATTCAGCCGAATGATTAGTACCACGTATTTACTTAAATTATTCCTTGGTATCAAAATTAATGCATTTGGATTAACTGACGCTCTATGTATCACGTCACTGAGTTTAATTTAGACGTTTTCGTGATATTACAATATCAGCTCTTCAATATAATGTTTATTCGTGGCATCTAAAGAAAGTTGTCAAATTATGGTAGCAGCCGAATTTTTGAGAATTCTGTAAAGGATTAACAGACTGCTACTCACCAGGCCATATTTGAACACTTCACTTATATGCGTTTACATTATATCACAAATCCGCTTTCAATATCGTCTCCAATCCTGTATTTCTAATGCATTTCTGTAATTACGAAAGATAAGTTGACTGACACTTTGACACAGTATTTAATGCTTGAAATTACACTTAGATGATACTTCAAACAATTATCTTCATAACAGTATTTTGTGAGAAAAGATATGTCTAATAAAAACTCAAGTTTTATGCAAAATTAAGGAATACGTTAGCTGACAGAGTATGATGAGAATGTGAATCACAAACTGCATTGATATATTTGTAGGTAATGACGAAAGAAGAGATCATATTGTCATATCCCATTTGTAACTCCAAAAGGTATTTAAATAGATTTACTAATATTTCTATATAAAGTTAAAATTGAAAAAATGGATGACAAAATTTCAGTAGGATTTTTTAAAGGTACATAAATGAAGTACACTCTTACCAGTTCATTGACAAGGTGAACGCACTCTCCGATAATATAAATATTTTGTTCGTATAAATATAAATCCTGTCTTTCGTAGTACATTGCTTTCCTATGTATTACGAATGCTAAGTGTGAGATGCCAGGGTGGGAACATATGTGTCATCAATATGGAAGTCCGATACTCATAATAATCTGACTTAATCTAATACATTGTAGAATAACTAATGAATCATCATTCTCGACCAGAACAGTCGACAAATGTTGAATCACAATAGAAAAACTCAAGACTATTTGTATATTTCGGAGATATCTGTACATCTTAAATAACGATCATAAATATTTCACAGATAAATTCTGTCTTATATCAATGTGCATTTCAACGTCTCATCCACTCAGTTTTACATGTATATTTCAGTTTGAGTAAAAGACATTCCAAATTTTATTTAACAGACTGATATGAACAAATCCGAAGAGGATTACTACAAGCTTGCATTTGAAACTGGGGTACCTCAGTCTCAAAAACCACAACTAACAGATGCTTTCCGAAAAATGATTCGATTAGGCAGAGTGAGTTTATTTAAGAATTTGTATGTTTCCAAGTCAAAAATAAGATAATATTGTTTTACGATTGTCTCTGCACATAATAATCTGTTCCACGTACAAACTTTGATGTACATTCCCCTCATTTATGAAAAAAACGGACGAAATATACGAATAACCACTTACCTGAATTCTATGGATTTTAGCATCACAATAAGTTGTTAACTGTTAATAAATGCATAAGCGTATGTCATATAGCTATTATGTATCATTGATTCACGGAAACAGATTGGTAATCAACTGCATTAACAGCAACTGGGAAAAGTGACTCCGAGGTTTGAGCAGATTGCCTATTTCTGTAGGTCTTCTGATTGATAAAAATGAATAATAGAAAAACCACTCGAAATACCGAAACAGATTTCAGACAAATATCATGGTAACAGGCTTTCCTCGTAGTTCTCACCTAATTAGAAATGGCTATTACACGCTTTTCAACCGAAAAATCTCCTTTCGTTCCTGTAAACTCGACTACAAGATCATTATTGGCAGTAAGATTTCATCGTTACAATTGGTGAACTATGTCTCTTAAAATCCTTATATCGTATAACTGGAGTGCGCAATTGTCAGACCATGACTGTTAGATAATTTTCACCCAAGAGTCTCCTTTTGTGATATCCAATTGAAATTGAGATACAACTGCCATTTTGATTCTTGTTATGTTTTACGCTCAATCTCCAAAAGAGGTCGAACTCAAAGAAACAACACTTGAAAGAATTTGTGACGAAAAACGAACTACAATCCATTTGTCCACAGGTAAATATTATCATATGACTTGCCCCAACTATATTTTTTAAAAAATATGAACCAGTTTAACTGAGTGTCCCTAACAAAAAGTGTAGTTGATAACTATCAACGTATGCTACAAAATGTAGGTTACTTGGCACAGAATAGTGAGACATTATTTATAGTGAACAGATGAAAGTTAACATTTGAAATCTTCATTTTATAGAATACTTGTAAGCTAAGTTTTCTAAGAATCTATATTTATTTGGAATTCCAATAATCAGTATTAGATTACTGCACTGTTTTACCTAGTAATACACAGGTGGTCATCTCTATGAAAGAGGCTGTTATATGTGACGTGAAAGTCACTGAAAATATTATTCCATTTCATCTCGAGAAACCATATTATGAGCTCATTGTAACTTATTTTACTTGTGTAGATCGATTGGAGTTATATACTTGAAAAAGTATTACAAGAAACTGGATATGTAAACTACCACAAACTACCAATCATTATAGAACAACGAAATGAACTCCGTCAATGTTGCGCAGAATACCGTGCTTTATTGACGAAAAAAGATGGTGGAAGGTAAAACATACTTTATTTTCCTTATGGTCGGCAACAAACATAGAATCTCGCAGTCGATAAGTTTATAAAAATAAACACCTGCATCTCTCAACAACGAATTATATTAGTGTAAAGGATTTGTGGAGACTGTAGAAATTGCACTTTTAAATCATGAGTTTACCTCAGTAACACTACCACTGAAAACCTAGAAGCACTTGATGGTTCCTTTGACCTCGTATGAGATGCCCAATCTGTGTGTATCCACAATGGTTATCTACCACAGGCAATAGATGAGGGTCGCACAATATCGTCAGTTGAAATTAAACCTTTACACCGTTGGATACTAACTCAATAATCTAGAAACTTAACGTACATCTGTGAGGCTGAGGAGCTTGACTTCGATTCCTGGATGCGAGTTCGTGGACATGCAGCACTGAGGAGTCGCATACTAGCAGGAAACGGCCATTCAATGTTTCCCGGTTTTCACAGGGAGTCTAACTAAGATCAATTCATGATTTAAAACTGTGAAAATAATTAGGTGAGATCGAAATGGAATCTAATAGCGGTACGTAAGTTTAGTAATTAAATTTGGATAATAAAACTATTTACGTTCTGCATGAAAACATTTCATCGTTACACTTGTCACAAAGAAAGAGACTGTTATAATTTACAGAGTTCAACACAGATTCTGATCATTCAGTTTCAATCTATGCCAGAAGGACACTATTATGAAATATTTAATCAATTTTATTCGTCAGTAGCTGTTTATTAATCAATATTATTACCTTTCATTCCTACCTAGTAGTTGAGCAAAATGTTAAGATTTTCACACTTTAATCAAGTAAATAAAAACATAGTTTTTGATTGCTTTGTCTCAAACATATTAAACATATCATTGTTTAAAATGAAGCATATCAATGATTGACTAATGTGTTGACTTGTTTGTTTCTAAGAAACTGGACAGATTGCTGTTTATGTTAGTTCTGTCAACTTGGATCGTCTTCTTTGAAATTTCACAATTTCTAGATGGACTAATTTCAATCTTAACTACATTCTTCAACTTGTATTTGGATTATGCACTGATGAAGCTTTATAAGATAATAATAAGCTATTTTCACTTTTCACAAATCAGATTATGCAATCCACATTATCTGTTTAGGATCACTCGGAACTAAAAACATTTGAATAATCCAATTTTATTTTATTCTCATGAACATTTGTAACAAATGCATAACATTTATTGTTTTACTTATTTGATTCAGATAAAATAGAGATTAAGCACATTTTAGAACTCGTATTTCAGACTTGTAGGTCGTCCTAGAAATTTACAAATGATGAGAATAAAGCTCTAGAACAGTTATTCGAATTTAGAACCATTTGTCTGTGTTATTTGTTAATTCAGTATGTTGTTTTACCGATGCTGTTTCATTATTACTATCATTACCCTAGCTTTATTGACCTGACTTTTTTCCCTTCATTAGTACTCTACGCACAATAGCTATTATGGACTTTTTAAGAGAACAACAAAAGAATACACTAAACGTCCATACATTTGGAACGAATCATAACTTCAATTCATGTTAGTTATATATTCAACAATGTATTTATTTACTTAATACTGAAATTATACAATAGAATTACTTAATTTGTAGTTAATAACTAAAACGTATGGAATATTTAGGTCATGAAATTTTTTCACTCCCCCGGATATATCAATTCAGATATAGTTTTACCAGTTTTCATTATATTGCATCCCGTTTTGAAGAAACATATTCTGTTAACTAGATGGGAATTGGATTTAAGTGAAATTTTCGGCAAAGAAATCATGAAGTAATTATTCGTAATAGACAATCTTGATGACTGACATTAATTGATAAGACATATATTCATTTCCAAACGGTTAAATCGAGAATGTCACTTGGCAATAATATACTGATTTAATTACTCGTTACTGTGAAATATCCATCTTAAAGTCAATGATGAGACTATGAAGCGGTTATCCACGTGACATTGAATTTCTAACCACGTTTCTGTATGTAATTAAACGATTTTATTGCATTGAACTGTTTATAAGAACAACTGGAATAACGATATTTAATATCACTTATCCACCTTAAAATATATACTAGTGGACAGTAATGTTAGTTTGATAATGTATTTATTAACCATTACTATAATAAATAATTATACTTCCGAACAGGTAAATGTATAATAAAGTGGAGTTTGGTGCAGATTGAATTGAAAACTGCTTTTCCGCTCTGATGCTAAACGACTAAACTACTAACGCACTTATTCATGTTTTAGTTCTTCAAGAATAATGTACGGAGAAAAATGTGTACCCTTAGGAAACAAACATCTTTTCACAAGTTATAACGACCTTCACAATGCTTTGAAAATGAAAATACTGAGCTTAATTTCTTATACACTGTGATTAAAAGGTACAGTATATCAGTTTATAACCGTTGTCAGAGTAACAACAAGGAGATAGGTTGATCGGTAGCGAACAAATTTTGTATGTCGATGGTCTTCATGAGTAGAAACGCTCCGACCAGTGTTCATGTGTTGCAAATTTATATACTTAACAAGTATGATATTCTTAATTTATATGATCTAAGGTCATCAGCGATGTCGAAATTATTGAGCATATGAATGAAGTTAACGTCAAACACTTGATAATCACTGACTGCTAGCATCAATAAATATACTAATAACCAGTATAAAAATGTTATTCATCAATAGAAACCACATAAACAAACAAGGCAATAGTTACTAGTCGAAACAAAACTTCCTTTTGTATTCTGCCTGCATAATTCTACAGAAGACATATTCATATATGAACAAATCCAGTATACTCTGCAAATCCCATCAGCGTAATCCATTATCCCTGAAACAATGCAGATTTATCAATCATTGCCATTTTCAGTCATATTGATAGAAGTGGAATGACTTGAAATAGTAATTATCTAAAGTATACTTTGAAGCACGTCCTGATATTCAGAGCAATGTAGTGGACGTAAACAGCTATTTGGTTAAACATTATTTTAAATATATTCTTTCTCCACTTAGTGTTGAAGCAAGTATACGATGATTGAGTATACAAGTAGTCATGAACACTAGATCTGTAAACACTGATTTGAACGATAGTGTCATTTGTTTCATGGGGAATATCAAGATCAACTTTGTATTTGTTGACACACTGACTGATTCCGTTCCGTCCTTTTATAAATTCATTTGATCTTCTCAAAACATAACATTATTTCACTTTATTTAAAATAGCTTCACAGCCACATTTTGATGAGCAATGTATAAAACGGTTGAAGGATGCGTTTCCATGGACGCTTGAAAGACATTATATCCGTTCGCATGTAAACGAAACACACAAAACAGAGGTTGGTTCATGTCATATTTCACTTATCTACAATGTTTGAACGGTAGACACACCTAGCAATAATATGAAATCATTACATGATGAAATGAGGCAATGTAAATAGGTTTCTACTAACAACTAATTCATTGATTGAAGAATTCTTCATATAGCCAAAGGGCTACAGTATAATTATCAAATTCAAATGAAACCTATCCATTTTAAGTGGATTACACACCTGAGTAAAATGGAAATATCATAGATTACTCTGTTGCGAAATTCGAGTAACGTACATAGAAGATGATTTCAATTGATCTTTATATCATCTTTCTGGATACAATCTGTGAACTGCATAGATACCATTAAAGCAGTTCTGGTAAACTCAATCCATCCACCAATTCTATCAGCTTTTATTGAACGACTGACAATACAAATCAAAACACTTTATTTCAATTAAGTATAGACGAGATATATTGAACAGCATTCTATTTCAGAGTAAATTAATCCTGAGTGATAAGCAATTTGCTGCTCATTTCTCGTCAGATCATTATAGATTGTATGTTTGTAATGCGCATCTAACTGACAAATGTACAAAATCATAGCATTTATCACATTGTTACAGTCGGCTTTGCGTTTTAATTCTGAATTTCCCGTTTATTCTAGAAATCATCATCCATCATGATACAAGTGATCATGAAAAACGGGTGTATATTATAGTTTGTTTTCTAGTCTGTAAACCAGAATGCAGTTATTGATGATGGTTTGTGGTATAGTTTACTTACTATAACAAAAAAGCGTTCATTTCTTAACAATGGACAGTTGTACACACAGTGTTTTATTTCATGATAGACTAGTAGAAACACTACAGTGAACAAACATCTTTGTATTAGAGTGATGGTAAATGAAGTCGGATATAAGATATATTTAGAAAATTACTCTTAATTTATTATCTTGGATGAGCTTGTAATCGATGAGAGAGTTTAACTGTCCATAAATGGATAAATGGAACTCAATATGGTGATTACCATTTCAACACTATGGATGATGTCATCCAAGTTCGTTCTACGCTAATGTATGAACATTCAATCATTTTACTAATCTAGACGGTTAAACACCATGATTACTCATCTTGGTATAAGTAATCAGTGTCTCCAGAGATAGAAACCTAGTTAATTACTGAAAAAATCTTGTTTTTCATTCTAAACATCAATTATATTAAAAGAAATATTTGTAGACATCATTGTAGTAAAATTTGAAATGTTGGTAACTTTTGTTAAGAATTATGTTTTGAGATTCTTTGAGAGAATAATCGAAATTTACATAAATTTACTGGAATATTGACAGAAACCCCTATATACCCAACAGTCGACCATTCGTATTCGAAGGTTAAAATTATTTAAATCAAGAGAATAGTACACTTTTTGACTTAAATTACATAAACATAAACAAATATCTCCGAATAGCACAATTTAGAGCACACCTCACAAAAAATGATATTCAACATCTTAACATAATAAGCGTTCAGCACAAAATATTTCCTAACTGTATTTGTGTTAAATAACATTGACCTTGGTTACTTTTCGTACTGACAAACTTTATTATGCGAAAATTAGGGATACTTTGATGTTAATTCATGAGAATTTCCAAAACACTTTCATACTTTCGACATCACCTACAAACCTGTCCCTCAACAGTTGTGAAATTATTCTTTCGATTTCGGATATACGTTCCTACATGAATTACATCAAATGGTCAACATAGTTCCAATGTCGACCTAGTTTCGGTCAGACAGTCAAATCAAACCACTTTTCTCGAAAAGACCACAGTTTCGGTGAAAATCTGCTGATTGTTTTTCAAAGAATCTTCGGAATCCCTACGGAGTGTCATCACTAGTGTGGTCTTTTTTGAGATCTAGGAGTTACACTGTGCAATAATCATTCGAACAATATGGGACGAGACTTCATTATTGTAAACATTACATTACATTGCCAAGATTAAGTGTAACACAGTGCAATTTAGTAGGAGTAGGCAACTAACCACTCAAAATGTTTTTATCACATGTATACCATGTTTCTCACCAAATCCGTTTAAAATACAGATTCTAATATCCATCCAAATGATCTTATTAAGCTACTATGTTAGACTATATATTGGTACACATTTTAAATATCAAAAACATATTCTTGATGAACAGAGAACAATGGTCGGTTTGAGAAACCAAAATCCATCATACTGTAGTGGCATAGCCAGTTCATCAATCACCCTCGTAACCGTTATTAAATAAACCTCAACGATGTTTGAAATCAGAAGGCAACCACTTTTACGTGCAGCTAAAGAAAAACAAACAAAAGCAAAAAGAAGTGGAGAAGGTGAAAAATGCCGAGAAGAAAAAAAGCCTCAAGTAGCTCCTTCAAAACAAAAAGCTACCAAGATTATTTAAAAGGCTGCTCCTAGAATTGGTGAAAAGCGTTAATGCATATGTGACAAGCTTATTATTTTGTGGAACAATAATTTTCAAACATGACATACACTTTCTCAATTCGATTAATTTTCACTCTATTACAGGTGATCAATATGTTTAACGAAATTAAACTCACTATCACTAACTCAATACAAAAAATCAAGTGGTTTGATGAAGAAGAAAAGAAATTCCAGAAACACAGGGTTTGTTTAAGTTTTAGTAAGATAACTAATTGTTATGAAAAATTGTAGGTTTCAAAAATGGGTATATTTGCCTTGTACTCCAATCAAAATGCTTCTCAACAAAAAGAAAATCTCTCAACAGTATTCCTAGTAAGTTAACTACACTTATTTCACTATTGAAAAATAAATTATTTTACATGTCCATTTGATACAACTAATGATTATTTTGTCGAAAACTGGTTATATTATACATCATTGTATATAATAATAAGCTATTTCTACACAAAATAACTCCGGTTATCACCGAGGAGATATGTGAAACTTACAAGACACCGTTGTTCCTAGAATTCATCATTGATAACACTTAGTGTAATAGAAGCATATTTCACATTTCCAAACAACATTGGTTTGCCTCAATCATTACGTGGTAGAGAAACTTCAACTCACTGGTCTTTATTCTGTAGTTCGGCAACTCAGAAGTTAAACCCTAACAGGTTCAAATATATCGGTCAATTTACGGACCAATCTAGTGGTCATCAAAAACTACACATCAATCTCACCATAATTCAACTACTTGGATGCATGTACAAAATCATTTACAAACTCGTCACACTACAAGGTTGTGTGTATATCATTAAGTGATGAAATTTACAATCACACGAGGACTATTCGCACAATTTTATGCATTAGTCAAATCATTTCAGTATTTCGGCGTTACAAATTGAGGAAAGTCAATTTACGTGACAATGATTAGTTTGACAATGAAAATCCGAAATGTTGCTTCAATGACACTGCATTTTCCCAAAACCATTGATTCAGAAATACTTACTCAATAAACTGGAAAACAGAATGTATAGAACGTGCTTTAAACATCTTTTAAATGATCTCTGTCAATGTTTTTTCACACAAATAATATTTAGTACCCTATTCGAGAGGACAATTATTACACAAATGAATTCTATATCCGTAAAGCGAAATATATTGACACTTTGAAAACTCAATTACACAGTTATTACCCGTAAGTTGTCATGATATCTCTGATATAAAAACAATACAAGTTATCACAAATTGTTAATTTTATTATTTAACTGCAAAGATTTGAATATTCTTTAATCAAAATTATCTTATGGATTGATGCCTTCTACTGAATAGAACCCACATTACCATGAAATCAAATTGATTTCGTGGACTGATTTAGTGTGTGTTTGGTTCGTGTTTGGACGTCTTCCCTCTAAATCTTGTAACGAATACGCTCATGAAAATCTCAAAAAACGGAAGGATATAAAAATTATTTTTCTTGAGCAAACTAACTGTGCCTTCATTACATTATTCAAGGTGGTAATGAAGTAAGAAGATTTCATTCATTTTATAACTCAAAGGACAAATGCTAATTGTCCATTATTATTATTATTATTATTATTATTATTATTATTATTATTATTATTACAACTACTATCATATCACATAGCATCTTTATATTTTCGTCTTTAGGAGATTTGACACTACTTACTAATGTAAACCCAAATAACAGACAATAATCTATGTAAAATAATCACTAATGATCTAAATCTTTCAAACAGTAAACTTCCTAGTTCGATAAGTACAGAAGTTGAACTGATTAGTTTAGGAAATCACGGATATTTAATTTGAATATTAGAATCCATATTAATAAAGCGGTTGTAAAAAATTACTTTTATTCAGATTCCATAATCTCATATTGTAAAGTGATATACCAATTTCTACCCAATTTTTGTATGAATAAAACCGCTTCATTCACCGATTCATTAAGTATCATGTAATATAATCCATGCTAGTTTGTGATAAAACTGAAATACCAGACATTTCGTACCGTGGTAATCTTGAAACGATTTCCTGATTAAATGTAAAAAATGGGAAATTTTAATGAAATGGTACGACATTTGAAATATCCAAACGTTTATCTTTTTGTGAACAGATCTCTCATAGGATCACCGGCATTTCTTGCAACCGCTTATTATTCAGCGGGTGCAAATCGCGTATATGTATATTCAGGATTTCTACAACCTCCACTTTATTATGAAAATGGTAGTTTAGCTTCGAAATTTGGAGCACTTGGTTGGATTATAAGTCATGAGATTATGCACGGAATAGGTATCCAAGGTTTGTTCAATCAGTATACTAAATTTTCAGTTTCTTAAAAGTAATATTAATTAACTTGTATAAAACTATTACTTTCGGTATAATACTGTTAATAAAACCACAATATCATTTAATTGTCTCATGAATTCATAGAGAAATTTACTATTTGACTAATTATTAAGGTGTATTCGTCAGAATCATTTGTTGTACTGATCAACAAAATGTCAACATCCTGAGTTTGACGATCTCAATTTGTTGTTCATTTGTTAAAACTAACCTTATGGACAAACATCACGTAATATCCGAATAATATTTTGTCATCGTGTACAATCTCCACATGTCAGTATTAAGCGTTTTACGATTACGGAATCACAAAATACCACCTGTGTCCTGTATCGATACATTCTCGAAATCAGCACATCACTGAAAGGAGGGCGATCTCACGACAATTCACTATAATATGAATAGAAAGAATCCATTAATCAATCGTCACAATATTTAAATATTCAAATATAATAACAGCTTAAATTTCCAGTTTAGTTCAGTAATGTATAAATCACTTTGCTTGTGATACCATGCAGCGATTTGTAAATTGGCTTCAACTAGTCTAGTTTAGTCTAGTTGTACTTCGAACGAAATATTAAAACTTTTCAGCTTGACTATCAAATACTTGACCACATCCATGTCAGCTTAGTTCACACTCATATCAATTACTTGTAATAACTGATTGAAAAGCTCGTTTGTCTCATCGATCCACGTCTCACGAGAGTACACTCACTATCAATTGAAGGTACATTGAGATAGTGGCACTTTCATTAAAAATCGATGAATTATGTGGTTCATAATTTGGTTTTCATTAGTTTCCATGCTTTTAATCTTTCGAACTTCACAAAATCATTTTATTCTATAAATCACCGACTAATTGATACTGAGTATTACTCTGTTACCATACACTGAATATCAGACTCTTTTTCGAATACAACATTAGACTGCTCTTGTCCTGATATTAATTTCATTTTAATACTGATTGTTTGAATCTTCTCATTGATGTTTAGGACTGCAATGTATTGGTTTCTTATTGGCATATGTGCATTTTGTGAGGATCGGCTTGATATTGTCTTAGGTCATAAGCACTATAAGCAGAGCTGGGATGTAGGTTCGTCTAACTAACGAGTCCCAAATAGAAAGAAATTCGTATTGTGGATTTTACTCCAACCACCACCCATCACCTTTTATGTCTGTTGTATTAGTTTCCAACAATCTCATTATTTTACTCTTTCATTTCGATTGATGTAAAAACTGGTGGTTATCAAACAAATATACACTGATTTCTGCTTTCTCTTTCTTCTACTCTACATGCACACTAGCAATTATGTTAAAATTAATTACAATTTCAATAAACATAACCTATTAGTTTTGTTGTATCTCAAGGTGTACTGTATGATGATAATTGGAATAAACGGACTTCGTACGATGCTTTAATGTCATCCACCTTGATACATTTGAATGCTGTATGTCTGAGTCATCAGTATGTTTCCTATAATTACACTCATTTAAAAGTAAGTTTAGTTAAATTATAAATATGAACATATAAATATTTACTGAGATTTTGTATAGTCATAGGTTATTAAGTACAAAAATTTTCCATAATCATCAAGTGATGTTACTTACTTACTTACTTACTTACGCCTGTTACTCCTCGTGAAGGAGCATAGGCCGCTCACCAGCGTTCTCCATCCAACCCTGTCCTGGGCAATCCTTTCTAGCTCCGTCCAGTTGTAATTCATCCTTTTCATATCTGCTTCTATTATCCGACGCAATGTGTTCTTCGGCCTTCCTCTTTTCCGCCTTCCTTCAGGATTCCAAGTTAGGGCTTGCCTCGTGATGCAGTTTGACGATTTGCGTAATGTATGTCCTATCCATTTCCATCGTCTTTTCCTAATTTCTTCTTCAGCTGGAAGTTGGTTTGTTCTCTCCCACAGAAGGCTGTTGCTGATGGTATCCGGCCAATAGATGTTGAGTATCTTGCGAAGACAGCTATTTATAAATACTTGTACTTTCTTGATTGTGGTTGTTGTAGTTCTCCAAGTTTCAGCTCCATACAGTAGAACTGCCTTGACGTTCGTATTGAAGATTCTCACTTTGATATTGGTTGAAAGTTGTTTTGAGTTCCATATGTTCTTCAATTGTAGGAATGCGACCCTTGCTTTGCCGATCCTCGCCTTTACGTCTGCATCTGAGCCTCCTTGTTCATCGATGACGCTTCCCAGATATGTGAAGGATTCTACATCTTCCAGAGTTTCGCCATCAAGAGTGATTGGATTGCTGTTCTCCGCTTTGAATTTGAGGACCTTAGTTTTTCCTTTGTGTATGCTGAGGCCTACTGATGCAGAGACTGCTGCTACACTGGCTGTCTTCATCTGCATCTGTTCGTGTGTACGTGATAGGAGGGCTAGGTCATCTGCGAAGTCCAAATCGTCTAATTGATTCTGAGCTGTCCATTGTATTCCGTGTTTTCCTTCAGATGTCGAGGTCTTCATAATCCAGTCGACCACCAGAAGAAAGAGGAAGGGAGAGAGTAAACAGCCTTGTCTGACTCCGGTCCTTACTTGGAATGCATCTGTCAGCTGTCCTCCATGCACTACTTTGCACTGTAGTCCGTCGTATGAGTTCTGGATTATATTGACAATCTTCTCAGGAATTCCGTAGTGTCGAAGAAGTTTCCATAACGTCCTCCTGTCTACACTGTCGAATGCCTTTTCATAATCAATGAAGTTGATGTATAATGATGAGTTCCACTCAACTGATTGTTCGACGATGATCCGTAGTGTTGCAATTTGGTCTGTGCACGACCGATCCTTACGGAATCCAGCTTGTTGATCTCGAAGTTGGGCGTCTACTGCATCCTTCATCCGGTTCAGCAACACTCTGCTGAAGACTTTCCCTGGTATTGACAGTAGTGTTATGCCTCTGTAGTTTTCACATTTGCTCAGATCTCCTTTCTTTGGAATCTTGACGAGGTGTCCTTCTTTCCAGTCCATCGGCACTTGTTCCTCCTCCCAAATCTTTTTGAATAGAAGATAAAGCATGCTTGTGGTTGTTTCGATGTCTGACTTCAGTGCTTCAGCTGGTATGTTGTCGGGTCCCGCTGCTTTCCCGCTCTTGATTTGTCTGACGGCCATTCTAATTTCTTCCGTAGTTGGTGGATTGACATCTATAGGAAGATCTATGTGTGCTGCTTCGATGTTCGGTGGATCCATTGGAGCCGGCCTATTCAAAAGCTCTTCGAAGTATTCTACCCATCTATTACGCTGTTGTTGAATTTCAGTGATTGGCTTGCCTTCTTTGTCTTTGACCGATCTCTCTGGTTTACTGTATTTCCCTGATAGTTTCCTCGTTGTATCGTAAAGCTGTTTCATGTTTCCTTCTCTAGCAGCTTTTTCTGCCGTCGTTGCTAGTTCTTCAACGTATTTCTTCTTGTCGGCTCTAATGCTCCTCTTCACTTGTTTGTTTGCTTCTATGTATTCAGCTTGTGCTTGGACTTTCTCTGCTCGTGTTCGGCTGTTGTTTATTGCTGCCTTCTTGTTCTTCCTTTCTTTGATCTTGTCCACTGTTTCTGTAGAGATCCATTCCTTATGATGGTATTTCTTTAGACCGAGAACCTCTTGACACGTTGAAGTTAATGCTTCCTTGATGCCTTTCCAGTTGTCCTCCATAGCAGTTTCATCTTCCTTCAGTAGATCTTGTAGGGCTTGGAACCTGTTGTTGAGAGCTATCTTGAATTCATTGAGTTTGACAGTATCTCGAAGGAAGGCTGTATTGAACCTTTGTATTGCTGTTTGTCCACTTGTCCAGTTCTTTTTTAGCTTCAGTTTCAAATTGGCTACAACTAGGTGGTGATCTGAAGCTACGTCAGCACCTCTCCTGGTTCTCACATCTTCCATTGTCCTTCGGAATTTTTTGTTGATGCAAATATGATCTATTTGGTTCTCTGTAGTGTGGTCCGGTGAGATCCATGTAGCCTTGTGTATACGCTTGTGTGGAAATATTGTGCCTCCTATGACCAATTTGTTGAATGCGCATAGATTTGCAAATCTTTCTCCATTTTCGTTTCTTCCTCCCAGTCCATGTCGTCCCATAATATCTTCATATCCAGTGTTGTCTATTCCGACTTTGGCATTTAGGTCACCCATTAGAATGGTGAGGTCCTTTTTTGGGCATTTCTCTATCACTGACTGCAGCCGCTCGTAGAATTGATCTTTAATTTCGTCGTTGCTATCATTGGTGGGTGCATAACATTGGATAATATTCATTAAGATCCCCTCCTTCTTTGTTTTGAATGATGCTTTGATGATTCTGGATCCATAAGATTCCCATCCTACAAGTGCATTTCGTGCTACTTTGGACAGCATAAGAGCGACTCCCTGAGTGTGTGGAGCATTGTCCTCTTCGTGACCGGAGTATAGCAGCATCTCTCCCGTAGCTAGCCTTTTCTGTCCAGCTTGGGTCCAGTGGGTTTCGCTGATTCCCAGTACTGCTAAGTTGTATCTCCTCATTTCCATTGATATTTGACTGGTCTTCCCGGTTTCCCACATTGTTCGAACGTTCCATGTACCTATAAAAATTTTTGCTCTGGTTGTTAGAAGGGGCATCGGCCTCGTGGCTTCCGAAGGAACTCGGCTTTCACCATGAAGCGTCATAATTCTTCTAAATGAAGACCTTCTAACTCCCAGGGCAGAGTTAAAATGGTTTGGATTATTTTTTCTGGTAAGCGTTTTTTTAGCGAGTTAGTTTTCTACGGGATGGGGACGCTAACCCCATGCCCAACCCTCCTCCTTTACCCGGGCTTGGGACCGGCAGCAACCCTATAAGAGCTACAGGCGGAGTCATCAAGTGATGTTACCAACTTCATTTAAATTGTATTTTACTTAAAACGTTTGAGAATATTGGAAAATGAACTTACCATTAAATGTGACACCAGTTATTGCTCTCTTTTCCGATTTCATATACCGTACAAATAACAGTAAGAGTACATCAACCCACTTACGCCTGTTACTCCTCGTTAGGGAACTTACGCTACCCACCAGCACTCTCCATCCAATACTGTCCCAGGCAATCCTTTCCAGCTATTCCTAGTTGTTATTTAACCTTTTCATATCTACTTTTATTTCCCGACGTAATGTGTTCTTTGGTGTTCCTCTTATTCACTTCCCTTCAGGATTTCAAGTTAACACTTGTCATGTGATGCAGTTTGGTGATTCCCGTAATGCATTTCCTATCCATTTCCATCGTTTTTCCTTAATTTCCTCCTCAGCTGGAAACTGGTTTGTTCTCTCCCAAAGAAGGCTGTTGTTGATGGTGTCCGGCCAACGGATATTGAGTATCTTGCGTAGACAGCTATTTATAAATACTTGTACCTTCTTGATGATGGTTGAAGTAGTCCTCCAAGTATCAACCCCGTACAGTAGGAATGTCTTGATGTTCGTATCGAAGATTCCGACTTTAATATTGGTTGACGCTTTTTTTGAATTCCATATGTCCTTCAATTGTAGGAATCGCTTTGCTAATCCTCGCCTTTACGTCTGCATCTGATATTCCTCGTTGATCGATGATTCTTTCAGGTACGTAAAGGATTCCACATCTTCCAGAGTTTCGCTATTAAGTGTGATTGGATTGGTGTTCTCTGTGTTGTACTTGAGGACCTTGGTTTCCCTTTGCGTATGTTGAGGCCTACTGATGCAGACACTGTTGATACACTGGCTGTCTTTATCTGCATTTGTTCGTGTGTATGCGATAGGAGGGCTAGGTCATCTGCGAAGTCCAAATCGTCTAATTGATTCTGAGCTGTCCATTGTATTCCGTTTTTTCCTTCAGATGTCGAGGTCTTCACAATCCAGTCAATTACCAGAAGAAAGAGGAAGGGAGAGAGTAGACAGCCTTGTCTGACTCCGATCCTTACTTGGAATGCATCTGTCAGCTGTCCTCCATGCACCTGCTCGCACTGTAGTCCGTCGCATGAGTTCGTGACAATGCTGACAATCTTCTCAGGAACTCCACAGAGTCGAAGACGTTTCCATAATGTCCTCCTATCTACACTGTTAAACGCCTTCTCGTAATCAATGAGCTTGGTGTATAGTAAAGAGTTCCACTCAACTGATTGTTCGACGATGATCCGTAGTGTCGCAATTTGGTCTGTGCATGACCGATCTTTACGGAATCCAGCTTGTTGATCTCGAAGTTGGGTGTCTACTGCGTCTTTCGTCTGGTTCAGAAACACTGTTGAAGACTTTCTCTGGTACTGACAGCGGTATGATGCCTCTGCAATTTTCACATTTGCTCGGATCTTCTTTCTTTGGAATCTTGATGAGGTGTCCTTCTTTCCAGCCCGTCGGCACTTGTTTTCCTCCATGGTAGTTTCTCCTTCCTTCAGTAGATCCTGTAGGACTTGGAACTTGTTGTCGAGAGTTACCTTGAATTTATTGAGTTTCTTAGTATCTCGAAGGAAGGCTGTATTGAACTTTTGTAGTGCTGTTTGTCCACCAAAACTAGGTGGGGATCTGAAGCTATGTCAGCTCCTCTCCTGGTTCACACATCTTCCATTGTCCTTCGAAACTTTTTATCGATGCAAGTATGATCTATCTGGTTCTCTATGGTGTGGACCGGCTAGATCCATGTAGCTTTGTGTATACGTTTGTGTGAAAATATTGTGCCGCCTATGACCAATTAGCTGAATGCACACAGATTTGCAAATCTTCCCCCATTTTCGTTTCTCGCTCCCAGTCCAAATCGTCCCACGATATCTTCATATCCGCTGTTGTCCATTTCGATTTTCGGGTTTAGATCTCCCATCAAAATGGTGAGGTGTTTTCTTAGGCACTTCGCTATGATTGATTGCAGCCTATCGTAGAACTGGTCTTTAATGTCGTCATTGCTATCATTGGTGGGTTCACAACCCTGGATAATATTCATTGTGATCCCCTCCTTCTTTGTCTTGAATGATGCTTTGCTGATTCTAGATCCGTGAGATTTCCATCTTACAAGTGCATTTCGTGCTTCTTTCAAAAACATTAGAGCAACTCCCTGAGTGTGTGGAGCATTTCCCTCTTCGTGAATGGAGTATAACAGCATCTCTCTCGTATTTAGCCTTTGTTGTCCAGCTTGGGTCCAATGGGTTTCGTTGAGTCACAGTACTGCCCATTTGTATTTCCCCATTTTCGTCGCTATTTGACTGGTTTTCCCGGTCTCCTGCATTGTCCGGGCGTTCCATGTACCTATAGAAATTGTTGCTGTGGTTTCAAGAAGGGGGCATCAGCCTCGTGACTTCCAAAGCAACTCGTCTTTCACCATGAGGCGTCATAACTCTTCTAAATGAAGACCTCCTAACTCCTGAGGCAGAGTTTAAATGGTTTGAATTATTTTTTAGTGGTTAACGTCTACAGGATGGGGTCACTAACCCATGCCCAACTCTCCTCTTTCATCCGGGCTTGGGACCGGCAGTACCTCAAGAAGAGCTACAGGTGGAGTTAAAAGTATGTTAAAACAAAACTATTTTAATGTGTTCTACTAGTCAAGTTCATCATAAAAGAATCAAACGGTGCTATGAATGTTATGCTCAAGCAGCGACCAAAACCCATAGACGACCTTAACGAACCGATACGCAACGAGGGTAGGACTCATACTCACATTGTTCATCCGTCTCCATGTGTAATACGTGGTCCAACCATCTCAGTCGATGAAGATTCGCAACTTCATAAACTGATTTACCGTCATTCCCTAGTACTCCTAGTCCAACCTCACTATTACTTACCAGCTGATCCCAGCAGATGCTGGCAATATTTATAAGACATCTATGGTCAAATACTAGTAACTTACGAGTATCCCCTACCCTTAACGGGCACTTTTCGAAGCCGTGAATTAAAACAGATCTCTGCATTTTATCGGCGTCTTTACCAAACAGGACTATGTCATATGAGTATTCTAAGTCAATAAGTCGACCTCCTAGCAGGAGATCAATCTCAGAAAATTCAGACAACGAGAACGCTATTTCTAGCAGTAGGTGATCAAATTGAACAAAAACGAAGATAGTGGACAGCCTTGTCGGACACCACTTGAGGTTGCAAAATCACATGACAGCTCGCCAGAAAGTTACTATCCCTTCATTTTTGCTCGGATATAACAAAATGAACTTAGATTGCCCAGCCGAATATCACTCTTGTACACTGAAGACCTGTTTTTTAAGAATTTTGTTTCGTTATATTTGACGAAACTTACTCATAATTTCGTAAATTGTTATGTGATTTATTTTGAATAAACTGTTTTTCGAAATACTACAGAAATTGAAAAAAAACAAGAGTAGAAAATCAATTCAGACTAGTTACTATCATGTTTTTGTTCGGAAGTGAAATTCCTTTTAATCAATAATGACTTTCGAAGACAATTCAACATCGTCATCGTCTGAGACGTATTTCATGAAATACACATTCATTCAATGATGATCACTAAGTGGATTCACTGATTACGAGACTTTAATACATCCACTGATGAAACACTCTTTAAACATGAAAACTTGCCTACAGGATCATGAGTCATTTAACCTAACACTTAATTCATAAAAATTGGAAGTATTTCTGTTTGCGTGACATTATCACTTATTGTAGAGAATAAAGTCTGCCGTATGGAATGTCACGTTGTATAGTTACCATATAACATTTCAGTGTACAAAGAGGATTGTGAGCATTTCTGATTTCAGGTTCACAATCTTACACAACACATGCCTCTTTATTGTTCAACTCATTTAGGCTTTTCGGACTGATACTCAAGAAGAAATGTTGGCTGACAATGATGGATTAAAAGCGTCGTACTACGTAAGTACATTCAGTTAATTAGTGTAATTTTGTTTATGACCACTGAAACTAGATATCAATCCTCAGAATACTATTGTGTATCGTGAGTAGTTCGATGATTTCCTTTCAATGAACAAAAATCTAAATATGGTATGGATAAATGAAGAATACTATTAATCGTGTGTCATTTATGAGACCAACACAGAAAATTTTGTAGACTCACCAAAACATAGAAAGCAATCAGATTTAATAAATACCAAAGGACCTCACAGTTACTTCTCTGAATAAATGTTAATTTTTGTCAGGTAAACATAGGGGTTCACAAAGTGGTCCGATATCACGTTCGTTGTTCTAGCTTTCTATACCCTACCATATGATTGATAATTGGGTAACTAAAAGCCTAATAGACTATTTAAGAAAACATTGATATGCTTGTCCCACGTTCACTACATTCTGAGTTATATGCTCCTTTGTTCGCTTTCAAAGATTTGTTATTACTCAGCTCAAACAGTTATCTCACAATTGCTGATATGAAAACAAAAATCGACCAGTCCGTAGTGTTCTGTCCAGTAATCGAAACTGTATTTGTACAAAATTTTATTAGCGTCAACTTTGATTTGAAGTATAAAATTAACGGGACAAAAAACACAAACATACTTAAAATATCTCTGTGAAATCAATTCAAATGAGCAGAAAACTCAATAGCTTGGTTAATGATTCTTTCGGTGGTTAAAATAGGTACATAACTCTGTTACTCGATTTCTCGTTCGTGATTCATGAAAACTATGAAATACAGCACAATGTGCATAGGTTTATTTTGATCGTTCATGATAGAAACTATGTTATGATAACACGTCGCAAAAAGCGTTTCACAAACACACCACCTATTCACTATAAATGGTGTTTTACTACTATGTATTATGACCGTTGATTTCAAAAACACTAACTCAATCACAGTAAATTTAACGCAACAAAACATTCTTTATTCAGACATACAAGCGTTTGTTGAAGACGTTCTCGAACAATGTTAGCCAAGATCATCATGATTCACTTGAATCTGATCGACTGTTCTTCCTCTCGTTTGCACAAGTAAGTCGAAGATTCGAATTGCTGTTATTCATAAGAATACCTATGGTGCATTTCTCAATGTTATATTCAGTGGTATTTATCATCTTTATCTAAAACACTCATCCTACATTCTTTGTTCCCCTTGAACTTGGATGTGAATGTTGCATACATCAACACTTTCGTAAGAATCATCATACCACCTGTTCAGTTTGTCTTACATTGTTCCTACATGTTCCTTTTCTACTCTTTTGTATGTGGTTTTATACTACTTATTTACATTCAGTAGGCAGCTGTATGCCCAACAATTTTCACACTTATGTTGTAACTCAAGTTGTACTGTAACATTCTGGAATGTTCACATATATCTTTAACGTTTATTTTATTTATAATTGTATTTATCATTATAATCACTGTAATTTAATTACTGTAACGGTTATCCACAGTTTTGTGCATTTGTTTGAATGCAACAGTTTCCATATTGTTTGCTCTTGGTTCGAGTTTCGGTTGTTCATAAACTGTTATCAAATTTAGATACAGCTATCGGCTGTCTTTGGACTATCGAAGCCTTTGCTATTTTCATTCTTGAGCGACGCGTTTAAACGCCTAGACACCTCACAAGTTGAGAACCGCTTTTTGTAGACAAATCGTTGTTTTGGGACTTCGATTTTGCGCGTATCTCAATCGGGGTTACTTGGACGCTTCGATAGAATTAACACCACCCATGTCATTATTCCTGAAATTCAACCGAAAATTATTATTCGAATTTACTATCTACTCAATAATATTTTCACATTATCCGAAGGGGCTGAAAAAGTAGTGAAGATTAAAACTAAGACAATAAAAAAAATCATCAAAATGAAAACTATCAGTTCACACAAACTTATAGGCTGCCTATCAGCATTCTCATATCCACTCGGTCCTGCACCTTCGTTTCTAATTCTATCCAATTGTTGTTTAGTCTTTTCATGTCTGTCTCCATTTCTCAGCCTGATGTGTTCCTTGGTTTTCCTCTTCTCCTTTGGCCTTGAGGATTCCATGTGAGGGCTTGCCTCGTGACGTACTGGGTTGCTTTCTTCAATGTGTACCCTATCTACTTCCAGCGCTTCTTCCTGAATTCTTTCTCCGCTTGAATCTGGCTTGTTCTCTCCCACAGTAGATTGTTGCTGATAATATCTGACCAACGGATCCGAAGTATTTTGCCTAGACAACTGTTAATAAACACTTGTATCTTCTGGATGATGGCATTCGTAGTTCTCCAAGTTCCCGCCCCATACAGCAGAACTGTCTTGATAACTGTATTGAAAATTCACACTATGGTGTTGTTTGAGTAGATCATGAAAGACTAGAACCCGTTGCTGTGGGCTACCTTGAATTTGTTCGGTTTGTCCGTATCCCGAAGAAAGGCCATAGTAAAAATTACTGCAGCCTTTTCCGCCATCATTGCTAGATCCCCTACATTTTTACGTCTGTTGGTTCTGATGCTCCTCTTCATCTGATTGTTTGCCTCTGTATATTCAGCCTGTGTCTTGGCTTTCTCTGCTCTTATTCGGCTGATACTGATTGCTGCATTCTTGTTCCTCCTTTCATAAATCTTATGCATTGTATCAATAGTGATCCATTGCTTGCGATAGTGCTTCTTGTGGCCCAGAGCCTCATGGCATGTAAAATGTGATTACCTCTTTCACCCCTATCGAGTTCTCATTCACGGTAGTTTCATCTCCTCCGAGTAGATCGTGGAAGACCTAGAACCCATTGCTGAGGGCTATCTTGAATTTGCTCGGTTTGTCTGTATCCCGAAGAAAGGGCGTATTAAAAATTACTGATATTGTTCAGTGCTTCTGGAGTTTCGGTTTCGACTTGTTGACCAGCAAGTGATTATCTGAGGCTATATCAGCTCCTATCCTCGTTTTCACATCCTCGATGCAGGTATGATTGATTCGGTTCTGTGTAGTGTGATCCGGTGAGTCATGTTGCTTTGTGTATGCGTTTATGTGGGGATATGGTGCCACCTATGACCAGTTTACTGAAGGCACATGGGTTTCGTTCCTCTCTCCCAGTTCATGTTGTTCGATGATGTCTTCATGTCCAGTGTTGTCCGTCCGAACCTTGGCATTTCGGTCTCCCATCAGAATGGCCAAGTCCTTTGTTGTGCATTTCTCCACGATGGACTGCAGCCTATCGCAGAACTGATCTTTAACATCTTCATTGTAGTCGTTGGTAGGCGCATAGCATTGCATGAAATTCATTGTATTGAAGGAGGCTTTGATGATCATTGGTCCGTGAGATTCCTATCCTATAAGTACCTTTCGTGCTTGTTTGGATAGCATCAGCGCAACTCCTTGTCTGTGTGGAGCATTCTCTTCTTCATGGTCGGAGTATAAGAGCAGCGCTCCTGAAGTTAGTCTTTGTTGTCCAACCTGCGTCCAATGTGTTTCACTGGTTCGAAGCACTTCCAGGTTGTACCTTTTCATTTCCGGTCTCCCACATTGTACGAATATTCCATGGACCTAAGTTAGTGGTTGCTCTGGTTGTTAGAAGGGCCATCGAATTCGTAAGTTCCGAAGGAACTCGTCTTTCACCATGAGGCGTCATAACTCTTCTAAATGAAGACCTTCGTACTTCCAGGGCAGAGTTCGAATGATTTTTTCTGGTTAGCGTTTTTTTAGCGAGTTAGATTTTTACGTGATTGTGCCGCTAACCACATGCCCAACTCTCTTCTTTTTTCCGGGCTTGGGATCGGCAGTAGCCCAAGATGGGCTCCAGACGGAGTGATGTATACTTCAAGTAATGTATAATAAGTGCAATGTCAGCCTAAATATAATCATGTCTTGTTTTATCACCAAACAACTAGTAATGTACTTTCCAACTGTTTTTATTATCTCATTTTCAAGACTATGTGTGGACATCACGGTGAGAAAATACTTATACAAAGTGCAGTAGTTATACCTCATGCCTTGGAAAAGTTTAGGTAAGAATTTATAACGATCTTAATTACATATGTTATACTAAAATTTGACTTGAAACATTTGTTGACACAAACTGAAGTTTTCATAGCAGGTGTTGCAGTATATAACGAAGAATTACAAGTATTCAGTAACGAGAATGAACACTATTATGCTTGAATACCATATAACTGTTTTTTGTCAGATAATACAAACGGCTACAAAAACTCAAAAATTAATGAATTCCGATGGTCTAGAACTGCACTGAAAGTCGCCTACTTTACCTTGAATCTGATTAACCTTTCACAATCTTTATCAGAAAACAGTAGTTTCAGTTAGCAAACTTTACAGTATCTGTGTATTTCGTTTACAGCTCTACAAACTAACGAAATAATTTTGTTTTCTCTACCTTGAAAGAGTGATCGGGGCGTTGGTCAATAGTAGAAGATTCGCACGTGCATATGGTTGTCCAGTTGGTTCACCAATGAATCCTGTTACAAAATGCGATGCATGGTAAAACCATTATGAATTACATATTCGAAACCCTAAACATATTTTGGGATGCTACATTTGAGTGGTTTTTTTGCACTTTCTTAAACAAACCTTTAAAATACACAATTCTCATCTTTGGTTTTATTTTATGATTCGATTCACTATTCATGTGAAATACCTATTTATCGATAACAAAACTTTATTTCAGCATAAGAGTCAATATACTCCAATTTCTTTTCCTCAAAATGAGTAACCAACTTACATTGTTTTATGCCTAATATTTAAATCAAATAAACTTTAGTTAGCCTAATCATCGCATGTTCTTAACTCAAAATTTCAGCTTCCCATTTAGTAGAATTCACTAACTTACAATCTGCACTACTTGAAAATACATATTCTTAAAATTATCGAAAGATCCACACAAGCGTTCAAAATAGATTTTGTAAAACATAAACAAAAATGTAGAAAACGGAAAGTGAGAAACATTATTAAATGTAAACCGGGTTCACTCAAAAATGATCAAGATGAGTTCGATTTTACATTTCAGTAAATCTCTGGTTTATATGCACATGAATTAATTCACGCAACTACACTGCGAAGCGTACATGAAAACGTACCTAAGAATACATAAATGACATTCAATTTACAGACAAGACATTTCAGACTACAGAATATAGAATAGAAGAAAAAATAAATGAACGCGATTCAGTTAGTGAATTGACGAAAACGAATACTGTAGCATCCAAGTACTTTTTTACGAATTCCTGATGAGTATCTTTACCGCATAAATTTTAAAGCTAAGACATTGTGGTCATATATCACGAGTATCTTTATGAGTTATCAGACTGGAGTTTGAACCAAATTAGGTTGCCATAAGAGCAATTAAACACGACATTAGTACACCAGCACATAAATTTCTTAACATCTTAATTTATAATTTAGATTAACCCTATTTATGTATCACATGGTTTTAATAACATTTAACCTCTCATTAAAATATACAGTTATCAAAATGGATGTCGTAACTCGAATTACTATAGTGACTTAAGGAAAATTTAAGGATAGATATAGATATGCTAGAAGATTACAACTAAGACAAATCAGAATTCGAAACACCCGCAGTAAAACGTCGGACTGTTCTATGGTACATCAATGCAGTTGAGATTAACACAGAAAAAACGGAATGGAAAGTTAATTAATAAACTGTTAGCATTTATACTGATGATTTAAAGTTTTCTGTGCTTTTTTAATCATATCTTCGACAAAAGCTGTTGGAGAATTTAAACCACATCGTTCGGCGAAATCGACATTAGTTTTGGAATCAGTTCCAGTCAAATTTCTGTCTAAAAATTCCAATAAAAACGTATCATCCATACAAACATTCATTTTTGTGCTAATAACATTTAGAGCATTGTCTTTGGATTCAAGCAGATTATGTTTGCCATCAGATGGATGAAAACTATGTGAAGGATTAGACATTTTTTTAATACTGTCAACTACCGGATAACCATTGTCATCACAATTAGTTGTTTCTAATCCCAACGGATCATAAAATATATTCAGCATATTTGATTTCGACTGACCGATATCGGTGTTTTCTGAGTTTATCTAAGAAAGAATAAGAATTTGAGAATTAATGTCTAGTAAAATCAAAGGAAATATTAGACGGTAAACCATAGAAATCTTAAATAATAGACACCACCTTAAGAAATCACTTTTCTTATTGTTATGTCACGATAAGCAGAATGAATAGTAACTTTTGGGATCTATTTATGGACTAATACTAAACGTATATTTTTAACGTATAATTGTTAAACAGCTAAACTATTCATATTCATATTCCTCTTATAATAAGCTTTATTTTGACCTATGAACTACTAATATACGTTTCATCATTCTTGAATTATGCCCTGTCTAATTATTCCCTACCTCCCACATTCACAGCCACTTTTGGCCAAATCTTGTACAAATGTTGTTTTCTATTTTATGGTCCGTTGTGGTTTGTTTGATTAGTATATAAACTCAGTATGTTTGAAATATAATGATGCATATCGCAGAGGCTCAGATTGACGTTCTGGACTTAACTGGCTGGGTTAGGCAGGAAGCAGGACCAATCAGGACTCTAGGCTGCTTGTACGGGTTTTACTGGGGGTGTTTCGAATTCTGATTTGTCTTAGTTGCAGTCTTCTAGCATATCTATATCTATCCTTAAATTCTTCTTAAGTCACTATAGTAATTCGAGTTATTGTAATGATAGCGAAAAAAATAATTTTACGACATCCATTTTGATAACTTTGTATATTGTAGTGAGAGGGTAAATGTTAGTAGAACCATGTGATACATAAATAGGATTAATCTAATCATATAAATTAACATGTTCAGAAATTTATGTGCTGGTGTACTAATGTTGTGTTTAATCGCTCTTATAACCAATTTGAAACATCTTGTCTGATTACTATTATCCATACTAATAAATTCACGTACGCGTGTACGGAGCCACTACAAAATTTATACCTCATGGAGAGTCGAGGAGCTTGTCCAATAAAATTAATCCAAATACGCCAACATAAACCAATGTGATTATTTGTAGATTAAATCACCTCTTTTACAACCATATATCAAATTGTTAAAACATAAAGCATATGAAGTTTATACACCATAAAGTTTCTGACATAATAAACGTTGTTACCAGGTTTCGGCTTTTTTCACTATCCATAAGAAAATGTCCACTATTATTTCGTTTGGAGCCACTATCAATTTTAAGAGGACCTCTAGTAGAAATCTGTTTTGAAGACGATTTATAATTCTTCTCCAGTGATTCTCTTGATCTCTGGACAAGCATATAAGGAGGTGAGTCAGACGGATAATGCAAGGTTTCTTGCTGTGAATTCGACGTATGAATTAGCGATAAGCTAGGATATTCATAAGACGTTTCTGTGTCCTAAAATAAGATGAGAAACAACCGATGTCAATTCGATAAACAAAATTAACACGGAAAAAATTAAAACAAACAACTACCTTTTGTTATTTCACATATGTACAAGCCACAGAGAATTCGAACACTTCAAAAGTGCCCGAACATGTTTTTGCTACATAACCATCATATAATTAGTCAGTCAGGTCAAGTTACCGAAGCTAACAAGAACGAAACTAACATCACTGAAGATGACAATAAAGAGATCAAGAACAAAGATTCTAGCAGAATAACATGAATTCATTTTATTTCGTAGGTTCTCGTCAGCTGCTCACAACCTGTGGTATTTAAAAAGATAATAATGGGTTTAAATTGCTCTAGAATATTCTTTCACATTAGGTATATATTTACAAAATTCAGCCTATTAATTTCATTTACACCTAAGTCATACTGTGGTGTGAGCTACTTATATCGATATACGTAGTATATAACGTGCGTTAAAAGAACGTAATGTCCGGCAGCAGATGGCGAAGATTAAGAAAGGAAGAGCGAGAGCACAATGGAATTTGTAAGAAAACGCATGTACAATGGAAGGGGAGACAATGGATTAGTGTTTGCAACCGGAACAGTACAGTTTGATATGATGGAATGATATTTTGCAAATTGACGATTGACTTTATGGTATTCATATTTTATTGAGATAGTCTGTAATTTTTGTGCTAAATACATTCGATTGTCCCCACCCGTGTTCTTGTTCACTACAATACTTTACGAATATTTTTTCAATATAAACCCTCATGTAAGCAATTTAAACCCATTATGTAATTATTATCTTTTTAAATACCACAGGTTGTAAGCAGCTAACGAGAACCTACGAAATAAAATGAATTCATGTTATTCTGCTAAAATCTTTGTTCTTGTTCTTTTCAAAATGATAAAGGGAAATGTGTATGAAATAAATAGATCACCAAGAACTAGTCTTTCCTTATGCTATGCCATATTTATTTGAACACATAAATAGTGGTACAAAAAAGAACCAAATACATATGCGTCACACAAATCTCATTTGATAAGTGTGAGGGCTGTGATACTGCCCAGGTGCCCAAACCGAAGCATTTGGTTTTCTTAGAGGGTCACACCCCAAGCCTTTGGCCTAAAGGTCTGACCCAAAAGGCAGTGGAACATCGTAAGGAGATGCAGTCCCATGGTAACCGGTGACCAACAATTGGTTCGAACGCCATTTGTTCCCTCAGGATACTGGAGCTCATGTGCACCATTGGTTTGGAATCAGGGTTTTCCAAGTCCCCTAGGTGGACTCTCCATGTCCACCAACCCGGTTAAAGAGCCGAACATTCGTTTTTCGTAAACAACACCCCCGCCACGAGAAGGCAGTGAGCAGGACTTCCCTGGCAGAGGCTATATACGCGTGGCCATATGAGAGCATTTTGAGAGGGAGAGCGGACTCTCCCCACTCTCGGCCGTACCAGGGCATTTTTTATCAAATGTCTTTTAGTCATGAGCCGTAAATAGTCGACTTGTTGAAAGACGGATGGAGGAAAAAAGACCTAGACAATAAGCCAAAATAATGACTTACATTTTGAGTCACGTAAGGTGAGTGCGCATTTAATGAATGAGGTTTCTGTAACGTTAGAACACTTTAGTTTCAGTGTAATTTGAGTAAATCAGTGCCAACTTGACGTAATTACGAATCAAAAATTTCAACTACGCAACGCAGAACCTGGAGTTGCACTGTTCAATGTTTAACGTGTTTGTATTGAATGATAGACGAGTATCGTCAATATACATTATCAAATGTATAAGGTCGCAACAGATGGTTGAATTCAAGTTTTTATGACATGTCACATGGATTTTTAAACAAACTTCATGAAATGAGGAAGAAACGGAGTCTGAACCCATTTTTGGTCACCGGCTACCATGGGACGCCATCTCCTAACGTCACCCCACTGCCATGTAGATCAGACCTTTAAGTTGAAGGTTAGGTAGTATCGTCCTAATAAAATCACTTGATTTGGTTTAGGCATTCAGGCAGTACTTCAGACCACACATAAATCAAATGATGGTCAGAACTAAATAAATCAATCTCACTTCTA